TGCCTCTATATATCTTTTCGCTCTATATTAAACTCTATCTAACCTTACTTCAATCCTATCCTGCCACTATATTTAATATAGTCTTTGGCCCTAAACCTAAAAAATGCATACTATCTTATACTAACTGTTTAAAACTTATTCCAGCTCTTTATCATCTCTATATTGCCTTATCTATATAATCTTATATATATTAATCCTATAATATATAATCTATACCCTGCCTGCAAATTATATATACTATCTACTAACCCTCCTCCTTCCTTATCCTCTTCTCTATCTTCCGTTTTTAATAATCTAAATAACTTATTTAAAAATCGGTTTATAATTTTAATTATAATATATCTCTATATACTAATATTTAATTATTTTCCCGTAAATTATATACTATACTATTATAATACCTTTTATATCTAATTACTTATTTACTTCTATTCTTAAAACTATTTTATAAATACTTTCTCCTCCTTATTATCCTTATCCTTACTGCTATTATTAACCACTACCTTTTTTATCTCTATATCCCCTTTTATTATTATATTGCCTTTTTTTTCTTTCCTGCCTTTCTAACTTATAACCTTATTGGCCTATAAAAATGCATTTCTCCTCTATCTCTCCTTTACCCTATCCTATACCTTCTACTAAAATAACAAAACTAATTATATATACTATATTAATAACTCTTTAAATTCTTATAGTAAATATTAATATATTACCTTTATCTTGCCTAATTTTTAAAACCTTTTATAATATATTACTAATAAATATACTATCCCCTAATATATTAATATATTTTATATCCTACTATTACCTATATTAAATATTTATAACCTTAATAATTTTAATATCTATATTAGTATCCCTACTAAATATAATAATCTAACCTATTTTAACCCCTAGAATTTCTTAACTACTCTCTTATATCTTTATATAGCGCTTATTTTATATAGTTAACTATTATATAATCCTTTTATTAACTATACCTTACGCTTCTTTTCTAAACTTAATAACTAATTTATAACTTAATCTTTCCCTTTATAAACTTACTATTTATTTCTATTATTACTTAAAAATAAATATCTAACCTCCTTCTATTTATAATTATTTTCTATCTTTAACTACAGTATTCTTAATAATATCTTTTATATCCTCTCTATATTATTAATTATTATTAATTTAGCTAATATCCTTCTTGCCTTTACTAATATATTATATAATATATTTAATATCTTCCCTATACTTAATTAAATCTTTTTATATATAATATTATCCCCCTATTAATTAATTATTTTAGTACTTAATATTATAAATTTAATCTTTATTTTATATATCTTTATATTAATAATCTAATTTATTAGTATTAAATTAGCCTTATTTCCTTTTAGTATCTATATTATAAACTGCTATATTTTATACTAAATAATTTAAAATAACCCTATTACTTCTTTCTATACCCTCTTCTGGCTTATAATTTACTATAATTATAACACTTTATCTCAGCATTTTAATATTAACTTTTAAATACAATGTCGCGGCATTTTACCTGCTGTATTTAGTAAGTCTAACAGCCATTTCCTGATATCCATTTGCCAGCAAAACTCACGCCGCTTTAATGGCGCTGGCCCCCACACTTAGCCTCACTACCCCTGGTCATGTTGCTCACAAGTACCGACCAAGTCTCTATGCTAAGCGCCCAACATCGCTTGGTGTCTGGGCATCTAAGCGCCGGATCACTCTTAGCACATTTT